ATACAGATAGCACATTGGCTCTTGAAAATGACCAAGACAGCTGGAAGTATTCGAAAAAAAACATTATCTTTGGACAGTTTATCCAGAGTTGCAATATTCAGCATCTTATTCGGAAATTGGAAAAATAAAATCTGACAATTTTATTACTGGTTTGTTTTAATCAAAGCTTTAGTTTGTGTGTGCATCTATATTTTTATATATATATATATATATATATATATATATATATAAAACATAAGATGTCTGTCTGTATGTATGCTATTTATGCACATTCACATTTCTTGACTGATTTTGATGAATAAACACATGTTACAAAGTTAATAAAGTAGGTCAAGGACACATGGCACAGTGGATAAAGGCATTGGTTAGATCCAGTGACACGACCCAAAGAGTGTGAGTTCAATACCCGGTTAAGGCAGTGGAGAACTTTCAGAGAGAAAATTAACAGGAGATAACTGATAAGTGACATCCATTAAACATGGCATGTGGAACTAGAACAATCTACCCCAGTGAGCATTAAAAAAAAATTTTCAGTTCGACGTTCCAACCACCTGAAGAAGGCCGAAGCGTACAACGGCCGAAACATTGTAATAAATATGGCAACAAAGATGAGGACAATAGTCCGAATAATGTAAATAATGTCAAGACTAATGTTTCAATCTTCTGGCCACTAGGTTTAGGCAGAAAAATTGATAAAACTGAAGGTGGGTATGACTTTTTGCAAAAACCAAAGCAAAGTTATACATGAACAAAATTTTTACTAGATGAGCTGATGTTCTTTGCACTTAATGCAAAAAATCAGCTCATGTTACGAGGTTTATAGAGTGCTTGATACCTTTCCTGTGATATTGGATTCACACAAAACTGGAAAAAAAAAAAAAAAAAAAATCAGTTTTTTCATACTACTTAAAATATAAACTTGAATAACTTCATTTTTATTTGATTTTCTTCAAACATGTAACGTCAAGTTTGCCATCATGCAAGAAATAAGATAGTCTTTTGTTATACACAGGAAAGTATGCAGGATTAAAAACACACTAAGAAAAACTGTTCAGCCATAACTCGCTGTTTTTTTCATTCAATGCTTTCCAAATTTACCATGTAAATTATATATGACACACAAATTGTCTTGCAAGAATGCTTGGTTTAAATTATTTCAGTTAAGTGGATGAAATCTGTGAAAACTAAGTCCAAAATCAGCTTTTGTCATTAGCCAATAGTTTCTTCATATGATTCCATCCTAAATTGGAATTCAAACAACCTTTGATGCAAAGACTGCTTGAGAAGGATTATTGAAGCATTAAAAGGGAAAAACTCCCAAAGAATCTCTTATTAACCTCAGCTTTACAGTAAACATGCAAAGAAGGAGAGGGCATTCATGCATTTGCACTTGAATCAAGCTCCGATACTTCATCCATGTTTTTGTTTCATTATTAGATTTGTGAACAATGCATTACAGCTATAGAAAATTTACTGAATATCTAAAACATTGAAACAATTTAACCCCAAGCAATGATCACAGAAGAAGTTTTTATTGATGGAATTTCTTTATTAAGAACAATCAAACACTTGTGAAGGACATACCATAAAAAATGATGTTTGGATGGTTATAATTGCAGCCATGTACATACAGGCAATGACAGATATCTTGGATAATGATGTGTGTGTGTAAATATATATATATATATATATATATATATATATATATATATAAAAAATAGTAATAACTTTAAATATCAACTTTTCTTGTTATTTTCTCTGACTTTGAAGTTTCTTGGTAATCCATTCTTCAAGGGTTCCTTTTCTTAAAACAGGACCCCTTGAAGACTGGATTATCCAAAAAAACAAAAAAAAATTGTCTAAAAAACAAAAAACTAGATATCTAAAGTTATGATTTCCTTTTTCTATATAATATTAATGCTCTATTTTTAATATTGAGCTCTCTATATAAAAATATCTGCAGTTTCTTAAATCTTATATATATTATTGTAACCTAGAGAGTGTTACTGAATGAGGAATAGCCAAAATAGAAGTTGAAAATGAAATGGCAATCTTTATAACATTAACAAAATACAATACTCGCCAGCAGCATGAAGTAGGTAAACCACTGCTAGTGTTGGACTACTTAGATAGTATATTACCTCTACTTGCAATAGTGTCCAATGTATTTATGAGGATTGGGACATGCCCATTATTGTTCATGGGCATGGTATATATATATATTTCATTAAATACACAGACAAGGAAGACTTTAAATTTTTTAAAAAGTTTTTCCAGTTTTTCTTACATTTTCCCGATTTTTAGGAGTAAAGAAGCACAAAAATTTTCCTTTATTTTCATTGTCCCAAGTTCTTTCAGAAACTTCTATAGCCATGTTCAAGGGTGTTATTTTTTTTCCTCATGTTCTGACTTGTAATTTATTTTTGTGTTGTTTTAAACAAAAGTGTTTATTCTGAGCTTTTACATCTAGTGTGCAGCTGGAATTAATGTGAGCATCTATTTAAAAAAAAAAAAAAAATCCTATATAAATCTCATTATCAGAAACATCTTGCTATTAGAGAGGCCTTGTATATCAAACATTTCTCTCCTATCAACCTCACATTACTTAACAGTGGAAATGGAGTTGATTAAATATTCCTTGTTTGCCATATTTAATGATAACGATTTGAAAGAAAGGTTGCTGCTTATATATATATATATATATATATATATATATATATATAGTTAGTTAGTTATATATATATATATATATATATATATATAGTTAGTTATAGCAAATATATATATATATATATATATATATGAATTAGTTAATATTATTATATATATATATATATATTTATTAAAGACATTTTTATGTTTAACGTTTTTTTTTTTTTTTAGATACAAGTATTTAAGTAAATGCCCTGTTTATAATAAACAGTATTTAAAACATTTACCGGCCTGAATGTCCAAAAATTTTCATAGAAAATATTCGTTCTTTGACAGGATTCGAACCTGCATCCTATACAGGAACCGTCATTTACGCTAAACGTGAGAAACCGATCGGCCACAAAGAAGCTATTCAGTAGAAAGGTCAAATTTACTGCTTATAAACTTCAATCTTCCACGAATCTCGGATTCATAACTGCTCTGGCATATCAAATGTAAACAAATGACGTCATATATTAAAAATGGACAAAGTTTATAAAAGAAAATATATATATATATATATATATATATATATATATATTTATATAGTTAGTAGCTTATATATATATATATATATTTATATAGTTAGTAACATATATATGTATATATATATATATATATATATATATATAACTATATATATATATATATATATATATATATAGTTAGTAGCTTATATATATATATAGAGAGAGAGAGAAAAGCTTATATATATATATATAAAATATTCGGTTTTTTTAATTAGGTTGATGCAAAAATTACTGCTGCTTTTGTTTCCTGATGCTATCTTTTATTCATATGGATTCATGGCATCACTATTCAGTCATAAAATATGTTCCAAGCTTCATGCAATCTTTCTACACCTTTTATCTAAATTCTTTAATCCATCATAATAAAAAGCTTTCTGATTTCAGTTTGATCAATTATTCAGGGAATCTTTTATGCTTTGGATTTGTTTAAATTGCTGACAAGACATGAAGATGATCAGGCCAAAACATGCACAGGAAAGAACTTCCCAGAGTCCATGATTGCTCATTGTGTTACATTTACAATGTAAGGAGAATGGTTGTTATCTGAAATTCATTTATCAACTTCATTGTCCACAAATGGTCTTTTCTCTTGTAAAGCATTATTCAAGCAAGTGAATTCTCTCACTTTTAATTTTTCTAAATGTCCTGTTGTTTGAGCTACCATTCCCTTCAAAAGTTTCAAACCTCCCTCAGTTTTGAAGTTGTCAAATTTCTCAGGCTATTCTTTGTTTTGATCTCATAATCACTTTTTAATGTTAGAAACACAGCATGTAACTACATTTGCAGAAATTTTATCCTGCCACTTCAAGCAACTAATTGTAGAACAATATTATGTCTGACTTTGTGTTGCTATATCCTGCTATGACAATAGAAAATGATTTTTATTGAAATCAATAAGAAGGCTATTGCAGTTGAAGGGACTTGAAAAATTAATGCAACTTAATGAGAATTGATACTTATAAATAAGCTACAATTATAATGGTCAAGATTTGCAAAAAAATATTCCCTACAGGAATTTACACCCACTTCATCATTAGTAACAATGGGTGAAATGCATTATTGGATATTCTTTCGAAATATACTTTCATGAACTCCCCACCCCCAGTTGTCATTTAATGTATAACTCTGTCAGGATCATTTACCCAAATTCTTAAGAGACACACACATATAAGAATTAATAAATTTTTTATTTTTAATCTCGCATGTTTATTAACTTGAAAAATCTTTTAGTAGATTTGTCTTTTATTGTTTCCACACATTAATAAGGTTTTCTTTTATAAAGCCAACATTAACTTCATTCAGCAATTTTCACTATGCTTTACAAGCTGATATGGTGATGGTAGAGATACCACTCCACCCTCACTTTAAAATATTTGATCTACTAGGTGATCAAATTCAAATAAAGAAGAACTTGAGAAAAAAAAAGAAAAACAAAAATAGCAGAAATCCAAAAAAGAAAAGATATTTAAAAAAAAGAGAAAAAAAAAGAAAAAAATTTTTTTTAAAAAAGAGAAGAAAAAAGAGAAGAAAAAGAAAAAAAAAGAACAAAAAAAGAAAAAAGAGAAGAAAAAAGAGAAGAAATAAAGGAGAAGAAAAAGAGAAGAAAAAAAGAAGAAAAAGAGAAAGAAAAGAAAAATAAAGAAAGAAAAAGAGAAGAAAAAAGAAAAGAAGAAAAGAGAAGAAAAAGAAAGAAAAAGAAATAAGAAGAAAAAGAGAAGAAAAGAGAAAAGGAGAAAAAAAGAAAAGAAAAGAAAAAAGAAGAAAAGAGAAGAAAAAAGATTAAAAAGAAAGAAAAGAGAAGAAAAAAGTAAAAGAAAAAAAATTTAAAGAAGAAAAGAGAATTGGAAGAAGAAAGAAAAGAAAAGAAAAGGAAAAGAAGAAAAGAAAAGAAAAAAGAGAAAAAGAATGAAAAAAAAGAAAAAAAAAAAAAAAAAGAAGAAAAGAAAAAAGAAAAAAAAAGAGAAAAAAAAAAAGAAAAGAAAAAGAAGAGAAGAAAAAGGGAAGAAAAGAAAAAAAAAAAAGAAAAAAGGAAAAAAGAAAAAGGAGAAAGAAGAAAGAAAACAAAAAAAAAGAGAAGAAAAAGAAAGAAAAAAAGAAGAAAAAAGAGAAAGAGAAAAGAGAAAAAAGAGAAAAGAAGAAAAAAAAAAAAAAAATTTTGAAAAAAGAAAAGAAAAAAAAGAGAAAGAAAAAAGGGGAGAAAAAGAAAAGAAAAGAAAAAGGAAAAAGAAAAAAAAGAAGAAAAGAAGAAAGAAAAAAGAGAAAAAAGAAGAAAAAGAAAAAAGAGAAGAAAAGGGGAGAAAGAAGAAAAGAGAAGAAAAGGGGAGAAAAAAAGAGAAAGAAAAAAGAAGAAAAGAAAAGAAAAAAAAGAAAAAGAGAAAAGAGAAAAAAAAGAAAAAGAAAAAAAAAAGAAAAAAAGAAAAGGGGAGAAAGAAAAGAAAAAAATTTTAATAGAAAAAAAATGAACAGCAGATTAAAAACAATCTAACCATATCGATGGAATAAAAGTGTCAGTTAAAATATCCCTGAATGTTACCAGGAGAAATTCAAGGAACAACAACCAAAACATAATAAAGATGAAGATATTAGTCCAAATATAAATAATGTAAAAATCAGAAATTATTTTTGTAGGCATTTATTAATTTCATCTTTTTCCCCTCAAAATCTGAAGACTCAGACTTTGAAGATATTTAAACATGATTTACAAAATACTATTATTAATAAAAATCAAAATACCATTATTTTCAAAATACTATTATTAATAAAATCTTATGTTTATGTATATTTTTACCATGGATATGATCATTGACCTGTCTGAAATATATCTTGCAAAGTAATATAAGTTCAAGGAATGTTTTGGAACGTTAAGAAATGTTTCAACTATCAGCTATATACAACAGTTTTCTCAGATCAATGATGAAAATGACTGAGTGAATGAAACATCAGTCAGTAATGTGCCATACACAATACACACTTAGGCAATCATTTATCTTTCGATACATGACTGACGAGGTAGATTTTTTTCCTGCAGTAATTTGCCATTTCTTTCTGCAGTAGACCAGTTGCCATCCAAGGCTATAGAATCCAGGCTGTCCTGCTATTTACCCATAGCTGCAGAGAGAAGAGGATTCATACCTTTCCCAAGAGTATTAGCATATAAGTGAATGTAATGGATTTGACTGGAATTTGAACTTGGCTCTCTGATTCCTCAAACTGAGCCACTATCCATTATTTCACTGTGCCTCCACGAAATGAAACATGCAGGTCTTAAAGAAGACTATCCTTCATCAGATCTTGTAGACTTGTGCTACAGGATCACAAAGACCATTACCAAATAACAGAAACCTCATAAACTAAACATTTCTAATAAGAACAACTAAAATGGATAGCACGTGTAACTGAAAAGGAAATAATGATATAATCAATATGTTGGCTTTCCAGAGTACCTTAAACCAAAGGGTTGAAAAGAAACTTCTATCAATACTAGAAGAGTGATAAGCATGCAATTGAGAAACTTGTTTCCCTGAAAAACTGCTTTCAGAGAAATATTTTATAAATTTCATCCAACAGTAACACTTTAGACAATGGATGTTTAATGTTTCCTTGAAATGGAATGATTAATCCCCATTACAAACGAATGTGTTTTACTGCTTATACCAACCATGGATAAGTGAGGTCTTAATGCCTAGAGATACAAATTGCATTTTGTATATTAAGATTTGGTGGTAGTAGTAGTGACAAAAATGATGCAGCTAGTGATTTTAAGACCTTCCTGATATATGTATCCATTAAATTAGTATCAACAAATATAATTTTCATGCACTAATACCAAATTTTAAAAGTACTTAACACTTGTGAAAATATTTCTCTCATATAGAACCCAGAACAAAAAGAATGCTAAACTTTTATGCCATATGAATCCTCCTATAAGGCAGTAAATACAGAACAATCTTTCAAGGCAACAGAAATATGGTACTACAGAATAATGCTATGAATATCATGGATTGAACATATGAGTAATAAGGAAGTTTTAAGGAAAATGGAAAAACAAAGGATGTTTATACTGTGAATCAGAAAGGTAATGTTGAAATTTCTAGGGTACATAATGAAGAAAGAGGACTTGGAGAATTTGGTACTCACAGGATATACTGAATGCAAGAGGGAAATGAGGAGTAACCTACCTAACAAGCTTGTGTAAATGAATGGCATAACAATCACTAGGAGTAATGATGAAAAAATTTATTAACAGCTACAAAGGATAGGAAGATGCAGAGAGTAATCATGATCACCTGGAGGGACACAGCACTTAGAAGACGTATATGTCTAGAAAAATGATATCTGATTATTATTGAATATAGGATCCAATCAACAAAAACTAACCATATAAATAAATTTTCACTTCTAAAAGTTGAGGGTCAACAATGTCCTAAAGTCAGAAGGATCAAAACAAAGTCAGGAGGAGTCAACGACGGCCAAAACAAAGTCAGGAGGAGTCAACGACGGCCAAAACAAAGGCAGGAGGGGTCAACGACGGCCAAAACAAAGGCAGGAGGGGGCAACGACGGCCAAAACAAAGGCAGGAGGGGCAATGACAAAAAAAACAAAAGGCAGGAGGGGTCAACGACGGCCAAAACAACGGCAGGAGGGGGGCAAGCCAAAACAAAAAAAACAAAAACAACGACGGCAAAACAGGGGGGCAACGGCGGACAAAAACAATATCAGGAGGGGAGCAACGGCGGACAAAACAATATCAGGAGGGGGCAACGGCGGACAAAACAATATCAGGAGGGGGCAACGGCGGACAAAACAAAGTCAGGAGGGGGAAACAGCGGACAAAACAAAGTCAGAGAGCTCGATGCAAATATTAATGTCTCATAAGTATAATGAATACAATGTGAATTTCATTCTCCAGAATGTAGTGTCACATATATCATTGATGAGTATTTTTGAAAAAAATTTAAATTACTACATTGATTTATACATGTCCATTTTCTGCTTTCATGTCAATAAATAATAGATTACTTATATTAGGTATATTCATTAATTAATTGGGTGACACTAACAAGTCCCTTTCAGTGACACATGCTGTATTTTTGCTAAGTCTTTAATCGGCATAGGCTTTCAAATGAGGACATCAACAAAAGGGATAAAGGATTTGCATTTATCAAGTTGTCGACAAGTAACAAAATATCAGGTATTCTAAATAAATATATATCTACATTCAAAACTGTATGTATTGTCTTATGAGAAAAAACTGTCAGTGAATTATTGTAGATGCAGTATGTGCAATATATATGCAGTCAGAAAGTTGTAATGGTAAAAAAATACAAAAAGACGTAGCAATACATGGGGTGTCTGCAGAAGAAATTGACTGAAGGCAAAAGTCATATCTCGAGAAGAAGCACAATGGAAAAAAAAAAAAAAAGTTATTCCATCTGTAACTGATGAAGAGAAAAAAAAATTTGTTTGGATTGTTTAAAAATATTGTCTGCAAAACAATCTTTCTTTCTCTTTCGCTCTATTACAAAGAGCTCACTAGAATTTGTTTATTATGTACATTGCACACATAAAAAAAACATCTTGTATGAATTGAACAGGTTTCATTTCAGTACTATTTTCTTTTTAAAACTAGGTTTATATTAGGTTAATGTGTTATTACATTCTATGAGAGCATTTCACAAATTCTTTTCACAGTGTCTTAGATATATAAAGCAGTTGTATGTATGATACCAACATTTCTGTAGAGTATATAGATCTTGAGCTCTATGATAATAGCGAGATTAGACATTTCATACAGTAAAGATTCAGCATTCATTGAACGAATTGTGGCTCCCCATAACTTCCTATCCATTTGTATGGAAATGGAAGGATAGAAAGAGAGACACCAAAAACCAAGGATATATTGGGATAGCCAAGGAAGCATTCCAAAAAGAAAATTTAGAATCAAAGAAAAGAGAACTAAACTGCTATGTGATGTCACTCCTCCTGTATGACAGTGAGTGCTCAACGATCTCCGCAAAGATAAAGAGGAGACTAGAAGAAACAGAATGTTGTTCTACAGAAATATGCTGAGGATATCATGGACCGAACATGTGAGTAACGACAAAGTTTTGGAGAAAATGGAAACTAATACTTAACCTCAGGAAGAGACAGTTGAGGTTTCTAGAATATATAATGAGGAAGGAGGGCTTGGAAAATCTGATACTCACTGGGTAGATAGAAGACAAGCATGACATACTTGATGAGCTTGAATAAGTGGATGGCAGAACAGAGCTTTGGAGAAATAACAAAAAACAAGGTTTATAAAGGGACAGGAAGTTGTGGAAAGCCATTACTGACTACATTCTGAAGAGACGCAGTATATAAAGGTTTTCTAATCACTGTTCTGCCAACCAATTTCTCAAGCTCATTAGGTATGTTAATTGCTGCTTCTCAATACGTCTTGTGAGTGCCAAATTTTCCAAACTGTCTTTCCTCATTATATACTGTAGAAATTTCAGTTGTCTTTGATTCTAAGTCTCCTTTTTGTTTCCATTTTCTTTAAAACTTACTTGTTACTCACATTATTACTTTTTGGTATTTCTCAAAGAATCATTATTATTCTTGTTGTCACTAATTATTTTGTTATCAATCATTGTTGGTATAATTATTACTTTCTTAACTGCATTGAAAACTATCAGTGAAGCAATAAATAAAATTTCATTTGAAAAAAATTGGAAATTCTTGCCAAAAGAATAGAATGATGAGGGAATCTAAAGACATGACAAATACCTTAAATGTTTAAGAATCTATCATGGCAAGAATTTTGTACTCTTCAAGAGTAGTTTTTTTCTGCTAAAAGACGGAGTTTAAATTTATCATCATAATGGAATTCTTTTTTTTAAATCAATCACTATGCCACTAACAAAAATTATGTTAATGTGTTCAAAAGCATGCCAATAAATTTCAAGAAAAAATTCAAAGAGAAATTACAATAATAATACCTTTTACGGCTGTTTTTATCTTCAATCTACTATTTCATTGCGGTCAGCTTTTCATTTGTTGGTTTTCCCCCACATTCACTCTCATTTCCACGTCTGAAGTAACTTTTTCTTTTCTATTATTTTTTTTTAAAAACCAAAATTAAATTTGAATTGGATTTTTTGAAAAAAAAAATAAAAAAATAAAATAAAATAAAATAAAAAAAGATAGAAAGCCAGCATAATTGTTTTGCCAGACGAACGTCTTCAGGCGCTTAAATTAGTTAATTTACTTACATTGACGGCACCTTCAAAGTTAACAATCAATATCTTCCATCGGTGTCATTTCTTTTTATTTCTTTCAGCCATATATATATATATATATATATATATATCTTTTCTTTTTATATTACTACTTTTTCTCGACCATACACAATATTCTTAATGCATTGAAAATTAATAATTTCAAAAAGACTAAATAATAAGCAAAAAAAGGAAGAGACTTTTGTAAAAATATGAGGGGGAAAAAAATGTCTCAAAGTCTGACTATTGAAAAAAGAAAGAAGAAAGTGTAAAGAAAGGATAATTTAATTACTCGTTAGACATCTTAATTAAATTATTTATAAAAATTTGTGTATTTTGATGATGTGCAGGGTGATAACTTTCTAGTTTTAGCTTTCGACTGCCGTTGCACAGTTTAAATTATAATTTCTGCTGCCTATGTTGTGAGGTTCATTATCGTTCCTATACAAGGCATCCCATGGGAATCTTATCTTCACTATATAAAGTGCATCCTATTATAATAACTGCTTTTTAGTTTGAGGAAAGTTCTACAAAAATAGCAGAT